CCGGGGCAGGATGTACCTGATGGCCTCAGTCTGCTTTGGTCAGTGGAGAACCGCTGGGCAAGTTCTCCACCATGTCGCCGACAGGCCGGCCTGGGACACGGGGGAGTTCAAGAATTGTGTCTTGTCGTGACCACCCTCGTGCAAGTCCCTCAGTGCCTTGGCCTGGTGCACTTGCAATCACGCCGTAGCGTGTAAGGCGGAGGCAGCTTCTCCACAGGTCGTGTAGGCATCGCTGGCCAGTCGAGTACCTACAGACCCGGGAGGGGAGGCACGGTTCTCCCTGCCGGTTGGAGGCGGTATTAGCAGCTGCATCGCAACCGACCGCTCCACCGGGAGGACCCTTGTAACCCCCTAGCTGCCCCACCATCGAGGGTGGTGAGGGAGGAGGATCCAGCAAATCAGTTTCCGGCAGAAAAAAGGTGCCGTCCATGACCTGTTGAGCTCCTCATGCACCTCCGGGAAGAAAGGCACCGAGGCGGGGCGCTGAGAACCAGCGCGGACCACCCCGAGAACCAATCGTGCAACCTTGAGGGCTCGGGATACGGTGAAATTCTTCACTCGAGCCCTACCCCTACGGCGGCCACGGGAAAGCATAGCCATTATTTCTGATCCATCCCCGGAGGGGAATTCCTCACCGTGACCGTAAGACCAGTCTGCCCACCGTCAGAAAAAGGACCCCTGCCACCAGAGGGAACCCCAAATCTAGGCTACGGGGTAGCCTAGGTCTAGGTAACGGAGTCCGGTCCGCAACTCCGAGATGGTCATACCCCCGCAATGGGAGCATGAACCATCCACGAAAGCCACCTCAGCGTGATTCATGCCCAGGCACGAGAGGCAGCGATCGTGACCATCACCCAGCGCCAGGTAACGACCGCATCCAGAACGCCCGGGTGATACGTTGTCTATAGCAAGACCCACATCGTCTTTATAAAGACGTAATGTCAAGTTTGCCACGCAACGTCGTCTTTTCTTTAAAAAGACGCACTCGAAATTGCTCTTTTAGGGGAAAAAGGTCTTTTAGCGTGCCGAGGCGCACAGGGGAGATGATCATCTGCAGCACAAACAGGGTGTAGTGCAGCCTGATGTGTGCAACCCACTCGATATGGGAAACCACCACCGCTGACGCGCCGTCTGTCAACACGAAGAGCCAAGAGCGCGCTGAACTCATTCAGTCTTCTTCTCTCAGTAGAGTAGTCAGGAGCAGAACTGTGATCGCTCGGCTCCGAAGCGAAAAGCTGAATATGCGCTGCATCTGCTGCCTACTTATACTCACGCTGTGATCAGCAGCAGCTGGATGCAATAATCGCATGCCAATGTGCATTGGCTCATTTAGTTTACACTCGAAGTAGACTGGTCCCTCTAAGCGAGATCCCAATTTCGTCGGTCATCCGACGTGACGTCGAGAGTGACCGACTGAAAGGGAACTAAGCAGTTTGTAGTGAATGGCAATCTGGTTGCAGATCAGCAACAAAAAGAGAATCTAAACTTTCATGTTTGAATCATAACTTTCACCCACTCAATCATCTGCTAGTTAATCAAAATAACATTCAGCTAAAAAGAATGCCGTCTGTTCAGTTAAGACCTTTGTTTAAGGATGTTACAGTCTAATTGGAGTGGCTTACATTCAATGAAACATTTGTACTCATATTAATTAGTACATCCTGTGTCTTCTTTCATGGTAAATTATTATTCCAGGGCTTTATGACAGAACCAGCACATTAAAGTCTGTATTCAAAAATTAAGAAACGTACAGGATTCCTATTGTAACCATAAAATAAAATAATAAAATAAAGTCATCCTGAACAAACTACCAAAAATGTACAAGAATAAAACATTTAAATATATCCATTAAATTAGGATCATGTTTGCTGCATTTAGGCTTCTAATATACAGATTTTCTATTAGATTATATTCCTTTGTATACACAAACAATTAATAATAGATAAACATTTTTAGAAATCTGCAGAACTCTAGAAGCTTTGTATCTTCCATTCCATCTTCAGGAACTCATGTGCTATTTGCCCTTTGTCAGGTAGGTCAAGACGTAGTGATTGAGAGTTGACACAGAGATTACCAGCAAGGTCATTTAAATTAAACATCATGCTGTTTTGTTCATGTTTCTAAGCCTCTTATACTATATATATACTTCTATACTTCTTTCGCTATCCTTCTTTTTTTCTTCTGTATAAAGTGGACCCTGGCATAAATTTCTTTTTATTGTGTCTGACATGTGAAAAGTCCATGTCACTCACCTGCAACCCTACAATTTGTCTCTATGCATGCTACCAGGAAAACTGTACTTTTACAGGAATACCTTCTGCCCTTCCTGGCAGACAGTATATTCTGACAGCTGCCACAGTATGCATGTTTCATCTGTTTGGAGCTGAAGGCTGTTTTTTTTTGTTTTTTTTAATACACTGCCAATTAAGACTATTCAGCCCAACAAAATACAGTATAATACTACAGTAGAAAGACTTTTTTTTTAGTTTTTTTTTTTATAATTGTATTAATGCATCTAGTGGTCATTCGGAGTCAGACCAAAATCTTATGGTAAATACACAATTTGTTGTTTGATTTAGTAACCATACCCTTTAAATTGTAACAAAGCAATGTGATGCAGCATACCAAAGCTATTTCAAGCCATCTTCATTTAAGTTCAATGACTGAATAGGAAATCCATTCTAATGGTTTAACAGTGATATACAGTTTGTTACATAAATAAAGCTGGGATATGCTAGCATTGGCTTACATATGAACCAGCTCTTACAAAAATAATCTTCTGATCATCAGATTGTTTGTTGTACACTACTGTCCATTTTTTCATGTTTTTGAAACAAGTCTCTTATGCTCACCAAAGCTGCATTTATTTGATTAAAAATACAGTAAAATCGTGAAATATTGTTACAATTTAAAAGAACTGTTTTCTATATGAATATATGTTTTAGGTTTTTGATGGATAGAAAGTTCAAAAGAACACCATATCTTTGAAATATATATTTTTTGCTACAACGTAAAAGTCTTTAACTGTCACTTTTGATCAATTTAATGCATCCTTGTTGAATAAAATATAGAAAAACTATTATATATTTGTTTGGATATATTCTGAAACATACAATATGGACATACTAACAACATCTACAAATGGAAGTATTGACATGTACAGCTTTAGCCATATAAAGATCTTTATGAATCCTTAATATTTTAAATATTTGCATAGTTTTTACTATTATACAGATATTTTACATTTTAGATGCTGTCAATACAATAATGTAAGAATAATTTCAGTGTTTATGCATATGAAAAAAAAAAAAATTCTACAGTGTGGTTACAAAAAAAATAAAATTAGTACATGATTTTTTTATATATATATATATATATATATTGTCTCTCACTTCCCAACCAATTTACTGTACTGTCTGACACAAGAAATTACTCTTTTATATGGAATTTAAGTGGCAAAGTTTGGCCATAAAAACTTATCACAGTTTATTTATGTGCAGCACATTTCAGCAGTCTCTGACATGTTGTCAAGTGCCATTGTGACACCATGCTATAGAGGGGTGTTGCTTGTTATTTTTAATGCGAGTTTAAAGGGGTCATATGATGCTTTTTTAAAGATCATTATTTTGTGTATTTGGTGTAACAGAATATGTTGACATGCTTTAATGTTCAAAAAACACATTCTTTTTCAAATACTGTACATTATTGTAG